ATGGCCTCCAACCTACTAGCGATGGCCTCCAACCAAATAGCGATGGCCTCCAACCTACTAGAGACTAGCGAAGGCCTCTAACCTAATAGCGATGGCCTCCAACCTACTAGTGATTGCATCCAACCTAATAGCAATGGCCTCCAACCTACTAGCCACAGCCTCCAACCTACTATAGCAATGGCCTGCAACCTATAATAGCGATGACCTCCAACGATGACCTCCAACCTAATAGCGATGGCTTCCAACCTAATAGCAATGGCCTCCAACCCAATAGAGATACTGTAACACCTGATTCCATTCCATCTCTTCCTTGAAGCATACATCTAAGGTGAGGCTCAAAGACCTGGAGCTTCAAGTCAGGAAACAGTCGAGCCGAAGAATCTGACACTTTCCTCGCAGTTCCGATCCATGGGAAGGGTTTGCAAAAGTTGGGCCCATCCAAAACGCTACATTTGATCTGATCTCAGTAGCCCCTTGAAACTTGGCACAAGGCTGTGTCTAAGGCCATGTCACGACGTCTTTTGGAATCACGCCCAACTTCATGATCCACTTTGGTGATCATCCTGATGAGACCGGCTTAAGGCATCCCTTTAAAGTGCTCCGATGTCCTGGAGATGTGGGTCGATTTAGGAGACCTGAACTTCAGTGCAAAGCAGTTAAAGATGATCAAAGAACTCTATGGCCTTCACAGCCTTTATGATAGATGGGGGTCCTTCCAGAGTCCTTCCAGAGACCGCCCAGACCGCCCATCAACTAATTTCCAACCACCTTTTCACAGTGAGATACCGAAGACCTGCAGCCCTCATACGGTCCAAGGAGCGCTGGAGTTTCTCGACACCCATCTGCTTCGAAGGAGACGGCGGAGCTTCACCGACCGGTGGCTTGGCCGTCCGATGCGCCGGGCCTTGGGTAGGAACAAGCTGCAGAGGCTGCAGGTAGGCCACCTCCTATTCAATTCCTTGCGTTTGAAGCAACAGTTTTCATCGATTTATTTTCGATGAATTAAAGAAAATTAAAGTATCCCACTTGTGAGGCGGTGCTGAACTGCTTTCCATATCAAGTGAAGAACAGGACCGCACGAACCACACAAAGCCCATCCGAATGACCGGTGATTTGTCCGACCGGTGACTCTCTCAGGTGGATCCTGTCGCAGACTTGCTGCCAGAGGGCCAGGGATGGCGAAATCGCTTCACGAGGATCTTTTATTACGACTTCGACTTGGGCCGCTCCGAAAGAGGGGCCAGGGGGTCAGGGGTTTTCCTCGGAGAGATGCAGCATGATGCAGCAATGCACCTCTGAAAGGAAAGCGGATACGCAAAGAAGTGGAGCCAAGAACAGCTCGAAGCTCTTGAGATGTTTGGACTAAAAGCAGCTCTCGTCCTCTGAGGCGTCTCTGAGCACCGGCTCTTCTACGCAGGCCTCCGGCAGTCTGACCGCTGGCACTTCGCGCACTTGAGCCATGAATCGCTCACGATACTTTTCAAGGAGTGGCGAGTTCTGAAGGCCGGGTGGGAAAGATGGGAAAGGGCATGAATCGGCATGAACTTTTTCCAGTTTGAGAGATGCATGGAACATGCAAGTCATCCATCACCGTGTACCTCGTGGTCCCGTGGTCAGTGCGATCAAGTGGATAAGATCCCAAAGGGGCGCAGTGGGCAAAATTGCGCATGAAGTCATCTAATGTCCTAATGCAAGAGTTATAGTATAGTGATTTCAGGGTAGGTGGCATAAGCGCGGGCCCCAAGATGTTTTTAGATGGGGGTCCATATAAACCTAGTGTGGCATCTACTATCATCTTGGTGACAAGGTGGGGCGATGTTGCTACCTGTGATTAGTAAACCTCGGAGACTTGTTTTGTGTTGAAATACAATGAAATCACCTGCTAGCTATTTGGAGCACAAAAGATGGAGCTGGATATTTGTTGTTGTTCACTAGGAGCAAGGACGCTACTAGGGGCTCCTGGCCATACTACTAGGAGCAAGGACGCTACTAGGGGCTCTTTTTAAGGCTCTTGATTTGTTCTTCATTCTGATGTTATTTAGTTTCTGTTCATTTCTGTTCGCTGCCCTGTCTTTCCTCGCCGCCTCGCCCCACGGCGTTTTCACACGTGTTCACCCATGGGTTGGGTGAGTCTTGGCCATAACGCGTCATAGCTCAGCAACCCAATTCGAGCATTTCACCAAGCAATTTACCCGGTGGGCTTGGTTGGTCATTGTGGGTTTTATTTGGGGTTGCTTGATTCGATGGGAATTCAAGTTTTTGATCATGGCAGACTTGGTGAAAGGGAACAAGTCATGAGTGCCAGAGCCGCCTATCAGTATCACCACTTGGATGTTCATTTGAGGGAGTGTCGGGCGAGGAATTTGCCTGGCAGGTGGCTGGGCGAATCTGAAGATGAGAAGGCCTGTGAGCATATCACTTCTGGGGTTGCGATCCTTTTGCATTATTTTGTTGGTTCATTCCTGTGTACAGTGCCAGAGGCATTGGAGCCTTTGGCCTTTGTTTCCAACCTACTAGCGATGGCCTCCAACCAGAGAGCAATGGCCTCGCTTAGGTAATAAATTCATGCTTTTGGAAGATCCCTCAACCAGAAAGGGGGAGCTCCACGGTAATTCAGTCCCTCACAACCAACTTCTCCAGAAAGAATGCACGTCTTCATATTTGCAATAAATCACGCCATGGTTTTCGTGTGGCTCTTAGGACACTAATTACATGACAAGGTCCATGGATGTTTAGTATCAAATCGTTGATCACAAGAGCACTATTAGGTAAAATGAACTTTTGACTTTGTAGATTTTTGTAGCCTATCATAATCATTGTTCTCTTTGCAACTATCCGTCCAACGGATCAAACAGACTCTGTGCTTTCTCCTCCACACTCCGACAGCCACTGCAGGCATTGCTCTGAATGGATGAGTTCCAGATGTGGAGCTGTCGGACAAGGGGACCAATGACGTCCCCAACTATGTAGGACTCAGGAGCAGCGTGCCACTGACTGCCTCAATTCTCCAGGTAGGGAGGATTTTTTCTACGTCACGGAGTCACGGTTTTCAGTTAGAAGTAGAGCGTTTGCTTTAGGTGGGTCAGAAAGATTAAGAGCCGCCAAAGGTTCTTGGTACAGCCAACACCACAGATTTTCTCCTTGTTTCAGCATGTGGAGTTTTCACCCACGCCCTAAGAACCAACATAGGTGGGAACCAGGTCCTTGAAGTACAGGCTATGTATTAGTCCAACGCATCAAGACAGATTTCTCGCGGGTTGAGGGACGCTTTTCAAAGATCGACCAGAAAAGGCAAGGCCTTCAGAGAGTGAAAACACACTCTTTATCAGATCGCTATTAGGTTGGAGGCCATTACTATTAGGTTTTCTTTTAAAGTCCAATGCTGCTGGACAGTTGGTGGTCAATCCTCGAGGATTTCGCATTTGGCGCCTTTGCGCCCGAGTGGCCGAGACGTTTTTACGTTCACTCCGTAGATTGTACCTGACAGCGTCGACTGAATGTAACAGACTTGAAGGAACCAAATAGCGATGGCCTCCACCCTACTAGCGATGGCCTCCAACCTACTAGCAATGGCCTCCAACCTACTAGCAATGGCCTCCAACCCAATAGCGATGGCCTCCACCCTGCTAGCGATGGCCTCCAACTTACTAGCAATGGCCTCCAACCAAATAGCGATGGCCTCCAACCTACTAGAGACTAG